GGAAATCGCCGACAATATCATAGTGTGGCACGAGGTCATATAATACATTTTCGCCCCAAAACATGCCAATCCTGAGGACCACAATTCGCGCTACTTTAGGCTAAATTTCCCCTGTCTTTTGCCAGTTTACAAAGAGTTGTTACTGTCTGTTTACAGCATCAACCCTTCTCGTTTCTGGTTTGAACTAATCACTTCCCGGATCGACATCAATCATTCGTACGCCGAGAGGCTGCTCAGCTGGTGTGAAGATTGTAAAGGCAAGCTTGACACTGTCAGTCAAGACGGTAAGCATGCGATTACTTATTTAGATTAACCCTTTGACTTTAAAGTTCCTGTAATGTTGCTTTTAGCTATCATTTTGGTCTGTTATCGACTTTGTTGAATGTCTGCATCGCGTTTTGGCTAATACTTTTGCGTTTTTGGTTTTTAGCATGTTCCGAGAGTTATGAGATTCGTCATCTTCTGGACTGCTACCTGAAATCGTCCGAACAGGAGGCTAACCATATTCTCACCGTGTCTCGTGATCTTACCGGCCAGAACGGATCCATCCGATCTCTAAAAAAGTGAGAAAACTTATTGCATCTGTCGATGGTACTCCTGTGTGACTTCTGACTGTCTCGTTTTGATTGAATGATTTATAAAATGGACAGTAGGGTATTCATGTTGTTGGTGGTTATGTTTTCAGACTGACGTCTACTAACAGGAGAGGCGTGTCATCTGAGCACAAGGACCTGAGCCGGGAACTTCTGTCCCTGACTGAGAGACACATGGTGTGCCTCAAACATCTCCAGGACGTGAAGGAGGTAAGTTGTTGTGGCGACTGCCTTCAGGATGAAGCGTTAATCATAATATGTTTTGTATTCTCAATGCCATACACATAATCGTATGTTCATCAAAGTAGAATACAACAAGTTGGATGTTTTCTCCTTCTTGGCAGAACGGAATAATGGCCATGACTGCCTCTCACAATTATGAACGGAGAATAAGCGAGTTGAAGGCTGAGCTGGAGAAGGTGGGGGAGAAGTCTAAGAGATCCCGGCCCAGCATGGTAGAGAAGAAGGTTCGCACTCTGCACTCTAAGCTGTTTAAATACGACCAGAAGAAGAGGACCCACAGAATCCATTACGAGCAGCTATTGAAAGAGGAGAGTGAGCTTGTGAACAAGCTGAGAAAGGTGTGCATTTGAAAATAGGGGAGCTTACTTCTGTGTCTCCTGCCATTCCTACCCATTCTTGTGTTTGGTTCCTCTGTGTTAGAACTCTTTATCTTAATCTTGATTAACCTTCTTTCTCTATTTAAGTTAACTCTTCCCCTTACCGACACAAACAAACCCAAAACTACACAATGACATGCAAAACACAAATATCCGCTCTTGTTCATGTCTGTCTTTCGATATCTTGCCCTCATCTGTTTTCGTGCATGTTTCTGTCATTCTCCTGTTACTTTTTGTTTTTCCTTCCGTCATTTCTCTATCAATTCCCTGTTTTGTTTGTCCCCTCTCTCCGCCCACCCAGACCTCTGACCATGCATGTCAAGAAGCATGTGCCCTGCAGAAGAGTCAGTTGGAGTCCTTGGTCTCCAGTCTCAGAGACTTTGTTGTCAAGACGTGCTCGTCTGACAACGCTGACAGGTACAGCAGTAGCATTGGCTTAACTGTGTCACGGTGTATTGTTCTGAAGTTCTGATGCTCTCTCTCACTCTCTCTCTCTCTCTCTCTCTCTCTCTCTCTCTCTCTCGTTTATAAGAGAGCTACAATCGTTGCATCAGTGTGTTATACGCAGTTTTATCCTTTCTGATTATATTTTAAGTTAATCTTAAGGTCAGCTGTATTCCCTTTGCATAGCTTTGTTAGCTATCCTCTGTTTTGTTTGAAAAATGATAGGATTTTCTGTTGCTGCAGGACCAACTTCCTAAAGTCAGCTATAGACGACATAGGTGTCGATGACATTGTCAATGCCACCTGTGATGTGACCTCACGGAAATATATCTTCCCGGATGTTCAGGGTTGGCATCAGAAATTTGGCTTCTTGGAGAAAATTCCAACCTCGTTTATCCGAGCATCTGATGTGGTCATTAGACGAGATCTGAAGAAAGGCCTGACTGAGGAGAACTGCCTGGCACAAGAAGTCATGTCAACCATGGGCCAGCCAGTTCACAGGCGCAGATGCTGGATCTCTAAGTCTAGGACCAAGAATGGTGACGACGGTGACATCAATAACAATGAGACTGTTGCTGGTAAATAGAGCCTTACGTTATATCCCTCTCTGTGATAATGCTTTGTGTTGCCCGAAACTGTGGCTTGTGCAAACAATGTGGTAGAGTTGAATTAATAGGATGTATTGGAAGATGTAGACCTTCATCAAATGCCCGTGTCTTTCTTCAGCTGCAGTGGAGGACGACATTAAATACATGGAGGACGTTTATGTGCGAGTTGTCCGCCCCTTCAAGCCCACCCACCCTGAGCACCTCCAGCTGAATCTAGGTGAGTGTTCCCACCCAGCAGTGCCTGCAACACTCATGGGTCGGATGTAGGAGCGCCCATAGTTGCACATGGATGACCTTGCATGGATGCTGCATGTGTGAGGTTAAGCCTAAGTGGTCCTACTCTTTGTGAGCAGAAGTAGAGCGAATGATTACTGGAAAAATGTGGATGATATTTGTATTTTTTTATACTTGTGTGGTTCTCTTGGGTTATGGTGTTACTTTTGTTTCTTGCAGGCATGCGCATCAAGCAAAAGTTCCCAATGGATGTGAGGGGCATGTCCTTTGGGTGGTGCCGGAGTGGGCTTGTCGGCCGTAACAAACAGTATGGCTTCTACCCTGCTGACCACGTGATTCTGGAGACATAGACTATTTGTTTCCTCTGCTTTAAACCATAATCCATCTTGACTGTATATATTGTAAAAATGTTTTCATGTAAATACATATTGATAACTGTGTACACATTTTGTCGGCTTCGTTATTTTGTTCCTTCCTTGGGTCTGACATAGACGAGGAGGCAACATCAGAACTGTAGAGGCAGGCTGAGAATATCCATCTTGGATGATGAGTGGGCCTCAGAGCACAGTTACCTCCCACCCCACTGAGGTTTACCATGAACCGGAAGGAAATTAAGATAATATAGTGCCTTGTTTAAATGGGCTGATCAGTCCGTGCCAATGTTTTTAGTGTGACTTGGGATAGCTTAAATGTAAGATTAGACATTGTTGTTTGTCGCAAATCTTTCGTTAGCCACAGCCTTTGCAAGGGTATTGATTCCAGCTTCCCATGACTTGACCCCAAGTTGAAAACCACTATGTGTGTTTCGGCTCGAAATATCCGGTGAACATTGTTGACAGTTGTTACTGCCAAATTTGACTGGAGTAGCCAGGCCGATACGTTGCGTTATAAGTGACAAGTGACAGGTCGGTCAGCATGCAACAGGAGAACAGCCCACAACCGATATTAATTAGGGTGGGCTGTTATGTCATTGTAGATAGCAAAGAAGGAAAATAATTGTGGTCTGAGGCCAGTGTTCTACTTCATTTGATCTTGGGGGTCATAGGTGAAAACACAGGGAAGCGGTCGTAAAATGCACGTGGCCGTGGGGGTCGGGTGGACAGCATTAGGCCGAGTCGAGCAGGTCGGGTGGGTTGATGTACCTTTTAAGTTGTTCCCCTCAACAGTGAAGGTGGGGAGGTGGGCTGTAGCGGGGGGTAGCTGGGTCCACTTGCGTCACCCCTGAGTGCAGGGAGGGACAGACGCAGTAGTTCAGAAGAGCAGTGATGGGGCACATCTTCCTCGATCAAGGGACTATTTCAGTAGCAGACGGTACGAGGCTCGCCGGCCACGTCGATCCTGGACATGCCTATAGAGATATTAAATCAGAACGTGTCGTCTTTACATTGGTTTCTGATTCAATAAGGATGACGAATTATTGTAATAAAGAACAATCGAGAAAACATTACTGTGTCGAAATTGCAAATCCAAAACCATCTTGAAATGGGACTTTTAATATGTCCCGCCTCTCTCACAGAAAGGATATTTGGGTATTCACATATAGTTTACCTAATTACTTAGACGCTGTTGCTGTTATTTTGATATCTTTTTCAATTCTGTAAAGAGTTCCGAGAGTATTACCAAGCGTTGCACAAATGTATGCAGGATCGGCTACATTCGGAAACAATCAACATTTGCGGCTTTTAGTATCTCCCGTGTCCCTCCTTACAGAATGGATGTTTGGTTTTCAGCTTAATTTTTTCACATACTGCAAGGTATAGCGCATTTATTGATATATGACGGGATATCACTGAAAATATCTTACATGACTTATAAAATCGCGGAACATTAAATGTCATACTTCAGCCATGAAATTGGACTAAAAGTCGGCAACTGTAAAGAATTGCGGCTTTTAGTATATCCCGCGTCCCTCCTCAGAGAATGGATGTTTAGTTTTCATCTTAATTTTTCCACATCCTACAAGATGTAGTGTTTTTAATGATATATGACCGGATATCGCTGACAAGCCCTACAGGACTTACAGATCGCGGAACACCAAGGGTCAAAAACTTCCACCATAAAATTTAACACGCAAAATCGGCAACCATCTTGCAAGAATTGCGACTTTTAGTATCTCCCGCCCCCCTCCTCGCAGACGGGATATCTATCTATGGTTGTAATTTTGTCATATACTTGAGGATATAATCTTTTTAATGATATATAGCACGACATCATCGACAAAATCGTACATCAGTTAAAAATAGCTGAACATATAGGTTTCAGACACTTGAAAATTGACTGATATAGTCGGCAACCATAAAGAATTGAGACTTTTAGTATCTCCCGACCCCTTCTCGCAGACGGGATATCTACCCATGATTGTAATTTTGTCATATATTTGAGGACATAATCCTTTTAATGGTACATGTGTATATAACACAATGTCATCGACAATATCGTACAGTACTAACAAATACGTGAACTTGGGGGGGGGGGGGGGGGGGGGGTGGTCCAGATACTTGCACACATGAAATTTGACTGAAAAAATGGGCAACCATCAAGAATGCTACTCTGAGTATCTCATGCAGTATCTCAGGGGTAGTGGGATAGCCTAGTGGTTAAAGCCTTCGCTCGTCACGCTGAAGACCCGGGTTCGATTCTCGACAGGAGTACAATGTGTGAAGCCAATTCCTGGTGTCCCCCGCCGTGATATTGCTGGAATATTGCTAAAAGCGGTGTAAAACCCTACTCACTCATGCACGCCACCCAGCTCGCAGTCGGGATATTGATCTATCTTCGTTAATTCCCCACATTCTACCAGACGATAAAATTTACGCTAGTCGAGCTCAGCCTGCAATGACGGACTTTACCGAGATGTGACGGAATCGCCTCTGTGACGTCATAATGGCAACGCCGCCATTGCTTGCGTAGCAACCAGATTTACACTTGGTCAAGTCTGATAGCTCTGCCAAAATTGTCTTTTTCCTTTTTTTACAAGCATGAATGAGATTCACCTTCCAGATTTCCATCATCTTCAGAACGAGGGGGAACTGTAAGTAGATTTTTTTAATTCTTATATTGCACGTAGCGTGATGGAATCTCCAAATTAAATGTAACGGACGTTCTCGTTGCTAGGTCGCCATTTTGGACCCTGATTTCAAAGGGTATACCGAAGTGCATATGCCAATTTCAGCGATCCCTCAAACAAAATTGCCCCATGCTGTTCCCGTTTTCAGACAGTATTAAGTATATTGGAAATCGCCGACAATATCATAGTGTGGCACGAGGTCATATAATACATTTTCGCCCCAAAACATGCCAATCCTGAGGACCACAATTCGCGCTACTTTAGGCTAAATTTCCCCTGTCTTTTGCCAGTTTACAAAGAGTTGTTACTGTCTGTTTACAGCATCAACCCTTCTCGTTTCTGGTTTGAACTAATCACTTCCCGGATCGACATCAATCATTCGTACGCCGAGAGGCTGCTCAGCTGGTGTGAAGATTGTAAAGGCAAGCTTGACACTGTCAGTCAAGACGGTAAGCATGCGATTACTTATTCAGATTAACCCTTTGACTTTAAAGTTCCTGTAATGTTGCTTTTAGCTATCATTTTGGTCTGTTATCGACTTTGTTGAATGTCTGCATCGCGTTTTGGCTAATACTTTTGCGTTTTTGGTTTTTAGCATGTTCCGAGAGTTATGAGATTCGTCATCTTCTGGACTGCTACCTGAAATCGTCCGAACAGGAGGCTAACCATATTCTCACCATGTCTCGTGATCTTACCGGCCAGAACGGATCCATCCGATCTCTAAAAAAGTGAGAAAACTTATTGCATCTGTCGATGGTACTCCTGTGTGACTTCTGACTGTCTCGTTTTGAGTGAATGATTTATAAAATGGACAGTAGGGTATTCATGTTGTTGGTGGTTATGTTTTCAGACTGACGTCTACTAACAGGAGAGGCGTGTCATCTGAGCACAAGGACCTGAGCCGGGAACTTCTGTCCCTGACTGAGAGACACATGGTGTGCCTCAAACATCTCCAGGACGTGAAGGAGGTAAGTTGTTGTGGCGACTGCCTTCAGGATGAAGCGTTAATCATAATATGTTTTGTATTCTCAATGCCATACACATAATCGTATGTTCATCAAAGTAGAATACAACAAGTTGGATGTTTTCTCCTTCTTGGCAGAACGGAATAATGGCCATGACTGCCTCTCACAATTATGAACGGAGAATAAGCGAGTTGAAGGCTGAGCTGGAGAAGGTGGGGGAGAAGTCTAAGAGATCCCGGCCCAGCATGGTAGAGAAGAAGGTTCGCACTCTGCACTCTAAGCTGTTTAAATACGACCAGAAGAAGAGGACCCACAGAATCCATTACGAGCAGCTATTGAAAGAGGAGAGTGAGCTTGTGAACAAGCTGAGAAAGGTGTGCATTTGAAAATAGGGGAGCTTACTTCTGTGTCTCCTGCCATTCCTACCCATTCTTGTGTTTGGTTCCTCTGTGTTAGAACTCTTTATCTTAATCTTGATTAACCTTCTTTCTCTATTTAAGTTAACTCTTCCCCTTACCGACACAAACAAACCCAAAACTACACAATGACATGCAAAACACAAATATCCGCTCTTGTTCATGTCTGTCTTTCGATATCTTGCCCTCATCTGTTTTCGTGCATGTTTCTGTCATTCTCCTGTTACTTTTTGTTTTTCCTTCTGTCATTTCTCTATCAATTCCCTGTTTTGTTTGTCCCCTCTCCCCGCCCACCCAGACCTCTGACCATGCATGTCAAGAAGCATGTGCCCTGCAGAAGAGTCAGTTGGAGTCCTTGGTCTCCAGTCTCAGAGACTTTGTTGTCAAGACGTGCTCGTCTGACAACGCTGACAGGTACAGCAGTAGCATTGGCTTAACTGTGTCACGGTGTATTGTTCTGAAGTTCTGATGCTCTCTCTCACTCTCTCTCTCTCTCGTTAATAAGAGAGCTACAATCGTTGCATCAGTGTGTTATACGCAGTTTTATCCTTTCTGATTATATTTTAAGTTAATCTTAAGGTCAGCTGTATTCCCTTTGCATAGCTTTGTTAGCTATCCTCTGTTTTGTTTGAAAAATGATAGGATTTTCTGTTGCTGCAGGACCAACTTCCTAAAGTCAGCTATAGACGACATAGCTGTCGATGACATTGTCAATGCCACCTGTGATGTGACCTCACGGAAATATATCTTCCCGGATGTTCAGGGTTGGCATCAGAAATTTGGCTTCTTGGAGAAAATTCCAACCTCGTTTATCCGAGCATCTGATGTGGTCATTAGACGAGATCTGAAGAAAGGCCTGACTGAGGAGAACTGCCTGGCACAAGAAGTCATGTCAGCCATGGGCCAGCCAGTTCACAGGCGCAGATGCTGGATCTCTAAGTCTAGGACCAAGAATGGTGACGACGGTGACATCAATAACAATGAGACTGTTGCTGGTAAATAGAGCCTTACGTTATATCCCTCTCTGTGATAATGCTTTGTGTTGCCCGAAACTGTGGCTTGTGCAAACAATGTGGTAGAGTTGAATTAATAGGATGTATTGGAAGATGTAGACCTTCATCAAATGCCCGTGTCTTTCTTCAGCTGCAGTGGAGGACGACATTAAATACATGGAGGACGTTTATGTGCGAGTTGTCCGCCCCTTCAAGCCCACCCACCCTGAGCACCTCCAGCTGAATCTAGGTGAGTGTTCCCACCCAGCAGTGCCTGCAACACTCATGGGTCGGATGTAGGAGCGCCCATAGTTGCACATGGATGACCTTGCATGGATGCTGCATGTGTGAGGTTAAGCCTAAGTGGTCCTACTCTTTGTGAGCAGAAGTAGAGCGAATGATTACTGGAAAAATGTGGATGATATTTGTATTTTTTTATACTTGTGTGGTTCTCTTGGGTTATGGTGTTACTTTTGTTTCTTGCAGGCATGCGCATCAAGCAAAAGTTCCCAATGGATGTGAGGGGCATGTCCTTTGGGTGGTGCCGGAGTGGGCTTGTCGGCCGTAACAAACAGTATGGCTTCTACCCTGCTGACCACGTGATTCTGGAGACATAGACTATTTTTGTTTCCTCTGCTTTAAACCATAATCCATCTTGACTGTATATATTGTAAAAATGTTTTCATGTAAATACATATTGATAACTGTGTACACATTTTGTCGGCTTCGTTATTTTGTTCCTTCCTTGGGTCTGACATAGACGAGGAGGCAACATCAGAACTGTAGAGGCAGGCTGAGAATATCCATCTTGGATGATGAGTGGGCCTCAGAGCACAGTTACCTCCCACCCCACTGAGGTTTACCATGAACCGGAAGGAAATTAAGATAATATAGTGCCTTGTTTAAATGGGCTGATCAGTCCGTGCCAATGTTTTTAGTGTGACTTGGGATAGCTTAAATGTAAGATTAGACATTGTTGTTTGTCGCAAATCTTTCGTTAGCCACAGCCTTTGCAAGGGTATTGATTCCAGCTTCCCATGACTTGACCCCAAGTTGAAAACCACTATGTGTGTTTCGGCTCGAAATATCCGGTGAACATTGTTGACAGTTGTTACTGCCAAATTTGACTGGAGTAGCCAGGCCGATACGTTGCGTTATAAGTGACAAGTGACAGGTCGGTCAGCATGCAACAGGAGAACAGCCCACAACCGATATTAATTAGGGTGGGCTGTTATGTCATTGTAGATAGCAAAGAAGGAAAATAATTGTGGTCTGAGGCCAGTGTTCTACTTCATTTGATCTTGGGGGTCATAGGTGAAAACACAGGGAAGCGGTCGTAAAATGCACGTGGCCGTGGGGGTCGGGTGGACAGCATTAGGCCGAGTCGAGCAGGTCGGGTGGGTTGATGTACCTTTTAAGTTGTTCCCCTCAACAGTGAAGGTGGGGAGGTGGGCTGTAGCGGGGGGTAGCTGGGTCCACTTGCGTCACCCCTGAGTGCAGGGAGGGACAGACGCAGTAGTTCAGAAGAGCAGTGATGGGGCACATCTTCCTCGATCAAGGGACTATTTCAGTAGCAGACGGTACGAGGCTCGCCGGCCACGTCGATCCTGGACATGCCTATAGAGATATTAAATCAGAACGTGTCGTCTTTACATTGGTTTCTGATTCAATAAGGATGACGAATTATTGTAATAAAGAACAATCGAGAAAACATTACTGTGTCGAAATTGCAAATCCAAAACCATCTTGAAATGGGACTTTTAATATGTCCCGCCTCTCTCACAGAAAGGATATTTGGGTATTCACATATAGTTTACCTAATTACTTAGACGCTGTTGCTGTTATTTTGATATCTTTTTCAATTCTGTAAAGAGTTCCGAGAGTATTACCAAGCGTTGCACAAATGTATGCAGGATCGGCTACATTCGGAAACAATCAACATTTGCGGCTTTTAGTATCTCCCGTGTCCCTCCTTACAGAATGGATGTTTGGTTTTCAGCTTAATTTTTTCACATACTGCAAGGTATAGCGCATTTATTGATATATGACGGGATATCACTGAAAATATCTTACATGACTTATAAAATCGCGGAACATTAAATGTCATACTTCAGCCATGAAATTGGACTAAAAGTCGGCAACTGTAAAGAATTGCGGCTTTTAGTATATCCCGCGTCCCTCCTCAGAGAATGGATGTTTAGTTTTCATCTTAATTTTTCCACATCCTACAAGATGTAGTGTTTTTAATGATATATGACCGGATATCGCTGACAAGCCCTACAGGACTTACAGATCGCGGAACACCAAGGGTCAAAAACTTCCACCATAAAATTTAACACGCAAAATCGGCAACCATCTTGCAAGATGCGACTTTTAGTATCTCCCGCCCCCCTCCTCGCAGACGGGATATCTATCTATGGTTGTAATTTTGTCATATACTTGAGGATATAATCTTTTTAATGATATATAGCACGACATCATCGACAAAATCGTACATCAGTTAAAAATAGCTGAACATATAGGTTTCAGACACTTGAAAATTGACTGATATAGTCGGCAACCATAAAGAATTGAGACTTTTAGTATCTCCCGACCCCTTCTCGCAGACGGGATATCTACCCATGATTGTAACTTTGTCATATATTTGAGGACATAATCCTTTTAATGGTACATGTGTATATAACACAATGTCATCGACAATATCGTACAGTACTAACAAATACGTGAACTTGGGGGGGGGGGGGGGGGGGGGTCCAGATACTTGCACACATGAAATTTGACTGAAAAAATGGGCAACCATCAAGAATGCTACTCTGAGTATCTCATGCAGTATCTCAGGGGTAGTGGGATAGCCTAGTGGTTAAAGCCTTCGCTCGTCACGCTGAAGACCCGGGTTCGATTCTCGACAGGAGTACAATGTGTGAAGCCAATTCCTGGTGTCCCCCGCCGTGATATTGCTGGAATATTGCTAAAAGCGGTGTAAAACCCTACTCACTCATGCACGCCACCCAGCTCGCAGTCGGGATATTGATCTATCTTCGTTAATTCCCCACATTCTACCAGACGATAAAATTTACGCTAGTCGAGCTCAGCCTGCAATGACGGACTTTACCGAGATGTGACGGAATCGCCTCTGTGACGTCATAATGGCAACGCCGCCATTGCTTGCGTAGCAACCAGATTTACACTTGGTCAAGTCTGATAGCTCTGCCAAAATTGTCTTTTTCCTTTTTTTACAAGCATGAATGAGATTCACCTTCCAGATTTCCATCATCTTCAGAACGAGGGGGAACTGTAAGTAGATTTTTTTAATTCTTATATTGCACGTAGCGTGATGGAATCTCCAAATTAAATGTAACGGACGTTCTCGTTGCTAGGTCGCCATTTTGGACCCTGATTTCAAAGGGTATACCGAAGTGCATATGCCAATTTCAGCGATCCCTCAAACAAAATTGCCCCATGCCGTTCCCGTTTTCAGACAGTATTAAGTATATTGGAAATCGCCGACAATATCATAGTGTGGCACGAGGTCATATAATACATTTTCGCCCCAAAACATGCCAATCCTGAGGACCACAATTCGCGCTACTTTAGGCTAAATTTCCCCTGTCTTTTGCCAGTTTACAAAGAGTTGTTACTGTCTGTTTACAGCATCAACCCTTCTCGTTTCTGGTTTGAACTAATCACTTCCCGGATCGACATCAATCATTCGTACGCCGAGAGGCTGCTCAGCTGGTGTGAAGATTGTAAAGGCAAGCTTGACACTGTCAGTCAAGACGGTAAGCATGCGATTACTTATTTAGATTAACCCTTTGACTTTAAAGTTCCTGTAATGTTGCTTTTAGCTATCATTTTGGTCTGTTATCGACTTTGTTGAATGTCTGCATCGCGTTTTGGCTAATACTTTTGCGTTTTTGGTTTTTAGCATGTTCCGAGAGTTATGAGATTCGTCATCTTCTGGACTGCTACCTGAAATCGTCCGAACAGGAGGCTAACCATATTCTCACCGTGTCTCGTGATCTTACCGGCCAGAACGGATCCATCCGATCTCTAAAAAAGTGAGAAAACTTATTGCATCTGTCGATGGTACTCCTGTGTGACTTCTGACTGTCTCGTTTTGAGTGAATGATTTATAAAATGGACAGTAGGGTATTCATGTTGTTGGTGGTTATGTTTTCAGACTGACGTCTACTAACAGGAGAGGCGTGTCATCTGAGCACAAGGACCTTAGCCGGGAACTTCTGTCCCTGACTGAGAGACACATGGTGTGCCTCAAACATCTCCAGGACGTGAAGGAGGTAAGTTATTGTGGTGACTGCCTTCAGGATGAAGCGTTAATCATAATATGTTTTGTATTCTCAATGCCATACACATAATCGTATGTTCATCAAAGTAGAATACAACAAGTTGGATGTTTTCTCCTTCTTGGCAGAACGGAATAATGGCCATGACTGCCTCTCACAATTATGAACGGAGAATAAGCGAGTTGAAGGCTGAGCTGGAGAAGGTGGGGGAGAAGTCTAAGAGATCCCGGCCCAGCATGGTAGAGAAGAAGGTTCGCACTCTGCACTCTAAGCTGTTTAAATACGACCAGAAGAAGAGGACCCACAGAATCCATTACGAGCAGCTATTGAAAGAGGAGAGTGAGCTTGTGAACAAGCTGAGAAAGGTGTGCATTTGAAAATAGGGGAGCTTACTTCTGTGTCTCCTGCCATTCCTACCCATTCTTGTGTTTGGTTCCTCTGTGTTAGAACTCTTTATCTTAATCTTGATTAACCTTCTTTCTCTATTTAAGTTAACTCTTCCCCTTACCGACACAAACAAACCCAAAACTACACAATGACATGCAAAACACAAATATCCGCTCTTGTTCATGTCTGTCTTTCGATATCTTGCCCTCATCTGTTTTCGTGCATGTTTCTGTCATTCTCCTGTTACTTTTTGTTTTTCCTTCCGTCATTTCTCTATCAATTCCCTGTTTTGTTTGTCCCCTCTCTCCGCCCACCCAGACCTCTGACCATGCATGTCAAGAAGCATGTGCCCTGCAGAAGAGTCAGTTGGAGTCCTTGGTCTCCAGTCTCAGAGACTTTGTTGTCAAGACGTGCTCGTCTGACAACGCTGACAGGTACAGCAGTAGCATTGGCTTAACTGTGTCACGGTGTATTGTTCTGAAGTTATGATGCTCTCTCTCACTCTCTCTCTCTCTCTCTCTCTCTCGTTTATAAGAGAGCTACAATCGTTGCATCAGTGTGTTATACGCAGTTTTATCCTTTCTGATTATATTTTAAGTTAATCTTAAGGTCAGCTGTATTCCCTTTGCATAGCTTTGTTAGCTATCCTCTGTTTTGTTTGAAAAATGATAGGATTTTCTGTTGCTGCAGGACCAACTTCCTAAAGTCAGCTATAGATGACATAGCTGTCGATGACATTGTCAATGCCACCTGTGATGTGACCTCACGGAAATATATCTTCCCGGATGTTCAGGGTTGGCATCAGAAATTTGGCTTCTTGGAGAAAATTCCAACCTCGTTTATCCGAGCATCTGATGTGGTCATTAGACGAGATCTGAAGAAAGGCCTGACTGAGGAGAACTGCCTGGCACAAGAAGTCATGTCAGCCATGGGCCAGCCAGTTCACAGGCGCAGATGCTGGATCTCTAAGTCTAGGACCAAGAATGGTGACGACGGTGACATCAATAACAATGAGACTGT